TAATTTATCCAGCTTCTCTAGGAATATTCTACATATGTGAAATTTTCAAACAACCTCAACTTGTATATGAAATGAACATTATTTTAGGCATAGTAAAATATGTAATACTTATCTCTTAGTTTTTTTCATAAGTCAACTTTGAGCTATAATTTACATAGAATAAAATGCACGAACTTAGGTATATAGTTAGAAGATTTTCAACGATGTATACACCTGTGTAACCACCATGACAATCAAGATATAGAATATTTCCATCACATCCCTTTTTGTAATCAAAACCATATCCTCACCTGTAGTTTCAGGTGATCAGTGATTTCACCACAGATTATATTTGTCCTTTTAAGAATGTCATGTATATGCATACATCCATATTTGTGTCATATATAGTGCATACACATATACACACATCCTCTTTTGTTTTTCCCACTCAACATGTTTTTGAGATTCATCCATGCTGTAGTTCATATTTTCTATCACTGAGTAGTATTCCATTATATGAATATACAACAATTTGCTTATCCATTCACTTGTTAATTCATTTAGGTTACTTTCAATTTTTAGCATTGATGAATAAAGTGATTAACATTTATGTACAAGTCTTTGTTTAGATAGATATTTCATTTCATTTTAATAAACACCTAACAGTAGAACTGGTAGGCCATAAGGTAGATGTACATTTAACATTAGAAGAAACTACCAACACTATCTCAAAGTGGTGTTTTGATTTGCATTTCCCCAATTACTAATAAGCATTTTTCCATGTATTTACTTGCCATCTGTGTATCTCCTATTGTGAAGTGAGCCTTTGTCTATTTAAAAATGTTTTCTTGTCTTTTTATTGAGTTCCATGAGTTTTTTGTTAATATATTCCAGATATAAGATCTTTGTCTCAACAGTTTCTCCCAGTGTGTAGGTTACTTTTTCATTTAATGGTATCTTTTCAAGAGCAGTTTTTAGTTTTGAAGAAATCCAATTTATCCATATTTTTCTTTCATGGTTATTACTTTTTGTGTTCTAAAAAACTTCTGCCTGCATCAAGATTTCTCTCATGTTTTCTTTTTCACTTTCACATTCAGACTTATAATTCTCTTTAATTGTAAGCATGAATAATTTTATGGGCAGAGGTAAGGTCAAAGTTAATTTTAAATATGGACTGAAGTAGGTTCATAGTTAATTTTCTTCCATATGGACATTCAGTTGATTCAACATCATTTGTTGAAAAGATATTCCCTTTCCACATTGAAATATCTTAGCACTTTTGCTGAAAATCAGTTGACAATATAGGGTCTACTTCCAGACTTTCTAGTGTTCCACCAATTTGTCTATTCTTTCACAAATACCACATTATCTTATTTACTATTAGAAATAAGTCTTAAAATCAGGTGATGTAAATCCTCCAAGTCTGTCCTTTCTCAAAATTGGCTCTGCTCTTCTAGGGCCTCTGTATTTCCTTCTAATTTTGAAATCAGCCTATCACTTTCTATAAAAAAATTCTGCTGAGATGTTGAATCTCTAAATCAATTTGGAGAGAACTGACAGTTTAACAATATAACATGGTATATCTCTTCATTTATTTAGGTCTTCCTTAATTTTTCTGAGCAGTTTTGAGTTTTTGGTATAGAGGTCTTGTGTGTTTTTGATTAAATTTGCTCATTTTTTGATGCTTTCACAAATGAAACTAAAATCTTAATTTTAAGTGTCTGTTGCTAATACATAAAAATACAATTGATTTTTAAAGTATTAAAATTGTACCCATGCCTTATTAAATTCACCTTATTTCTAGTAGTTTTTTGGTGGGTTACCTAGGATTTTCTAATCTAAGCTGAAAATCATGTTTTCATCTGTGAATATAGGCAGTTTTACTTATTTCCCATCTTTATGCTTCTTATTTCTGCTTTTGCCACTGGCTAGGGTATTTGGTAAAATATTGAATAGAAGTGGTAAGAGTAGACATCTTTGCCTTTTTCCAAAACTCAATGGGAAACTTTCAAAATATTACCATTTAGAATAATGCTAAGGTTTTTTGTTGTTGATGATGATTCCCTTTATCAAACTAAGAAAGTTGCCTTCTATTCCTAGTGTGGTAGCGGTTTTCATAAAGAATGACTACTATATCTTCTTAAGCATTAAACAGATATTAACCTATAAAAGGGGGTGTGATTATGCATAGCCATTATTGTGAATAATAGTATGAATAACCGTTACTGTGATAAGAGAGCCAATGAATGGCAGCAGACGGAAGAACAACAGACTAGGAGTAAAACTTAAGACAAAGCAAAACAAGACAAAATCTATTTTCTCACACAGCTCTGCACTCTTAATTGATTAGCCCTCTTAATTGTACTTTTAATTGATTAGGTCAAGGCAAATAATCATAAAGGGCTTCAGTTACCTTATATGTAAAAGAAAAGTATCATATGGCCTTCCGACACACAGGGCAGTATGTGAGAACATTATACACCCTGCCAAGGGTACATAAACTACATGTTCCTATTCTTATGCTTCTTGATCTCCTGTTTTAATTTCATCTCCACTTCAATACAAGGCTCCCACTATAACATCCCTCTTTGAGTGCACCTCTAAAATAGGCATTCTTAATTGGAGGTATGGAGTATTTAGGTGTATGAATTTAGAGGATGCAAGATGTCTGTCTTCAGATTAAAAATGAAGTCTGTGGTTTTTAAAAAGATTAATAAATACTACTCTAAAAATGTCTTCCATGCTAATCTTCTAATATGTTTCTGTTAATTTGTGTAAGCAAACTGTTAAGAAAGATGTTAACCAGGATTAGTGACGGTCTATGTCAGCCAGGCTCAGAGTCCTGGTTTTCATATATATCGCCTTTCCATATCCACAGCTTTTGTATCGGCAGATTCAACCAATGGTGGATTGAAAATATTTGAGAAAAAGAATAATACAACAATTAAAAAAATAAAAAAATTAAAAATATAGTATAATAACTATTTACCATAACATTTGCATTGCATTAGGTATTTATAAGGAATCTAGAGATGATTTAAAGTATAAGGGAGAAGTGTGTAGGTTATATGCAAATACTATACTATTATATACTGTAACCGTAAGGACTTGAGTATCCATGGATTGTGGTGTCCACAGGTGCCCTACAGAACCAATCCCCCACAGATACCTAGGGATGACTGTACTTCCAGAGTTGCTAGAAGGCTTAATTCCTACATAGGAATATTACTGTATGAAATTTAAAGTACTGTTTTTCATATGTATGTTTGATTACATGAAAGAACCAAGTTTCTTAATAAAAGGCCCAATATGGCTACAGTTAAAATAGCACACCCAAAGCAGGCAGAGAGGAAATGCCAAGAACTATTCAAATGCCCAGCCTATGTCCTAACTTCATATGGGCAAATAAGACTTAGAAAATTCTTGATAATTAATCATTAGGGAAATGCAAATCAAAACCACAATGAGATATCCCCTCCCACCCATTAGGGTGGATACTATTAAAAAAACAAGCAAAAAAAAAAAAAAAAAGAAAGAAAGAAACAGAAAATAAGTGTTGGGAAAGATGTAGAGAAACAGGAATCTTTCTACATGTTTAACAGGAATGTAAAATGATGCAACTGATCTAGAAAACAGTATGGTAGTTCCTCAAAAAATGAAACAGAGGTTTACCATATGATCCAACAACACTACTCCTGGGTACATATCCAAAAGAAACAGGATCTCAGAGAGATATGTGTACACCTGTGTTCACAGCAGCACTATTCACAACAGCCAAAAGATGGAAGCCACAGAAAGGTCCCTTGAGGGACGAACGGATAATACCATGTGGTAGTGTACATACCTATAATGGAGTATTATTCGGTCTAAAAAAGGAAGAAAATTCTGACACATGCTACAGGACAAATGAACCTTGAGGATATTAGGCTGAGTGAAATAACCCACTCACGGAAAGTAAAATACTGTATGATTTCACTCATAGGAGGTATCAACAGTAGTCAAACTCACAGAAACAAAGTAGAAGGGTAGTTGCCAGGGGCTGGGGAAAGGGGAACTTGTCTAATGGATATAGAGTTTCGGTTTTGCAAGAGGAAAAAATTCTGGCGATTGGATGCACAATGTGAATATATTTAACATTACTGAACACTTAGAAATAGTTAAGATGGTATATTTTAAGATATATTTTATCGCACACCTGATATACTTCTACCAAGTCTAAATGTAGTTAAGACCACTAACAACTCATGACTTAAAACTCTGATCTTTGAAGCAACTCACTACTAAACTGAAATTTCAGAATTATTAATAATGTTCCAATAACTCTTCAAGACCCCTAACAACTGACACTGATTGATGATTTTGTGCTCATGGCATTATATAGTTCAGAGAACATAACTAAGACTCTCACCCAATGCTAGAATAAATACCACCTTGACATCAGGACAAATGAGAGGATTCAAGATTGTGCTACAGGATTTTAAAATGTGTGAACACTGTTCTGTAAAAGCACAAAATTAGTCCCTCCCCCCACTAACATTCCCTACAATAGCAAAATAAAAGGGCCTAACCTCTAATTCTTTTTCATCGAAGTACTGTAGCCACTGAAGAGGAACAACTTCATTAAAACCATCAAGGAAAGCTTTGGTCTGTTCTTGTACTCCTCGAGAAAAACGCCATTCTGTCATTAAACTGAAAATAAAGATGGTATTTAAAAATAGGTAATTTATATGTGAAGTAAAATACTTAAAAACACCAAGAACTTCTATAGTTCTTTCTCTTTTTCTAAATATGCCACATATATATATACACATATAAATGTGATGTGTGTGTATATGTATGTATGCACATAATTTTAGAGTTAACACATTCGAGGAAATCAGTTCTAGCACATTGGCAACTATTAAAAAGGATGCTTTTAAGATAAATAGGAAAGAAAAAACAGAAAAAAGAAAGAAAATAAATAGGAGGTTCCTCACTATTTAGTAAGATAGCCAAATTCTAGCACTAATTATTTCCTGTTTATATCTAGACAAATACATCCAAACATCATGTGCTCACCGGGAAAGGAATAGCTAGTCATTTAACAGGCTGTCCTTACACCAAGCATTGCCATGACAGACCTGAGGACTCTGACTCAAAGCCTTCCACACCAGGGAGGCAAGGGATTGTCTCAGTAGTATGTAATGACCATATGTCCACAGGCCATGGACTGGTGAGGGCTTATCGTCTGAGAGGGCTTAAGGCTGGAGAACAGGTTCTTTACTTGCTGGTTTATTGGAAAACATGAAGATTTCCTAACTAGAATAGAAGAACTCAAGATGAAAACAAAACATTCTGAAGAGACACATATAAAGCAGCTATAAGAGCACGGAAGTATGATAGAAATGAAATAAGGAAGAAAATGTGTCAGTGACACAAAATCTGTAATAAAAGGAGATTCCAAAAGGAGGTGGATCTGGAAAGAACTACCTAGAGAAGCAGCATACACTACCTCATACAGAGAAGCCACAGATTCTAGCAGATGAAAAGAAAGCCAAGCTGTTCCCACTCCTCTCATTTCTAACTGTTCTTTTTGTTTTCTAGAGGAAGCTGGCCTTATGCTTTTCTAAGGCTGCCTCTAAAACTTTTCTTCAATTCCTAAACCCTCTTTGTCCCGTATCCTCAACTCCAACTCCAACTTTTCTTCCCATTTGTCCACAAACGTGTTCAGACTATTCTTTTCCAAAAACCCTTCCTTTAACCCAGTGTCTCTTTTAAATTACTCTCTGTCCTCTCTTTACCACCACACTCATTATAAGAGTACACCACACTCAGTGTTTTCACTTGCTCACCTTCTATTCAACCAAATTTTAAACCAAGGTAATTTTAAACCTGGCTATCATTGTAGGCTTCACTATAGCCACTAATTCTCACCATCAACTTATCCCCTTAATACGTCAATTCTGCTCTTGCTGTTTTCCCTGTCCCAAAATCTCCCTCTATCAGGCAAGCTTTCATGTATCTTTTTTTTTTTTTTCTTTTAACATAAGGTCTCAGTCTGTTGCCTGGTTCACTGCGGCCTTGACCTCCCTGGGCTCAGGTGATAGTCCCACCTCAGCCTCCCTAGTGCCTGGGACTACAAGCACATGCCACCATGCCCAGCTAATTATTCTTAACATTTTATTTATTTATTTATTTTTGTAGAGATGAGGTTTCGCCACGTTTCTCAGGCTGGTCTTGAACTCCTGGGCTCAAGTGATCCGCCCACCTCAGCCTCCCAAAGTGCTGGTATTACAGGCAGGAGCCACCAGCCTCTCATGCATCTTTTAAGATGTAACCTAATACATAATGTCTTATGAAGTACTTTCCTGACTCCTCCCAGTAGAAACAATACCTCTCTTCCTACTTTAGATTCCAGTGGTACTTCATATATATTTCTACCATTCATTTACTTATAGCTTCACTGATGGCCTATTTTGTGCACTAAAAATAAGGTATCACAACTAAACAAGAGTGTTATCATATAATTCTCAAAAGCAGGATTAAAAAATAAGACTAAAGTCTGTTATTATTTGAAACTGAAACAAAATCCTCCAAAAATTGCTGCATTCATGATTAGCTATGAATAGTATTACAGTGGTAAAATGTTTTGAAACAGTGCTTAACTTTACAGAAAGTGAATATAAATCTTACATGGTAAGATTTTATTTAGACTGCTTTTGATATTTGAAACCACTGACAGCATTTTTTTAACCACTCAGGTTGTGGTACTTATTTTTGTTGGACTTTGTGGAAGGCTCAGGCTTAACAAATAAAAAAAAAAGTCCAGTGCCTTATGCATGATCTTTCTGAATATATTTTCCTCAAAATCTAGTGTTACTGTTTTTTTCCAACTAGTGTAATAAATGCACGCTGCAGAACAAAGCAAAACAAAAATATCTAACAGAGTACAAAAGTACAAAAGAAGAAAATCAGCTATTGCTAATTTCTCTCACTCAGAGATGACTGGTTTAGCAGAAAAAGAAGAGGCCAAGAATGTCAAGCTAAGAAGGGTACATTGAAGTTGGTAAGCAGAAACACCAAGGATGTAAATTTGAAAGGCCATAGCAATTTACAAGAAGGGAAAAAAGAATGGCTGTGACATTTTACAAAAGCCACATAGCAATATCTATTAAATACTTTTTGACCAAGTAACTTCACTTTTTAAAAATCTAGCCCACAAAACAAGTAGCAGGATGTATGGATTCATGCTTAAGGAAGTTTTCTGCTGTCTTGTTTGCAGTGGCCCAAACTGGACACAACCTAAATGATCTCTATTGACAGGAATAGCTGAAAAATATAGGAAAAAAACCACCCCAGTTTACCTAGCTATTAAAAAATGAGCTAGATTTAACTGTACTGTCCTTAAGACAAAAAAGTAAGATACAGAGTAATGTGTATAATCCAATCCCATTTTCAAAACAAATATAAAAAACAAAAAATCTGAAAGAGACAGAGATGACAGCTAGCATCTAAGAGGGTGAAAATGGTAGTACTATTCATAGAAGACATCAGTAGGAGAAAATATCTAGGAAAAATGAAAAGTTTGATTTTAGACCTATGACATTTTAAGATGGGTCATCTGTAGTTCACGTGTTGGCAAATTACGGCCCGTGGGCCTAATCATCTGGTTTTTTTGTCCCCAGCATTTGAGCTAAGAATAGTTTTTACATTTTAAAAAAATGACTGAAAAATATTAAAAGTATTTTGGGATATGAAAATCATACAAAATCAAATTTCAGTGTCTACAAGTGTTTTACTGGAACACAGCCACACATCTATTTATACACTGTCTATGGTTACCTTTACACTATACCACAGAGGTGAGTAGTTGCAATAAGAAATGTGGCCTGTAAGCCTAACAAGTTTACTGCCTGGTTCTTTCCTGAAAATGTCTGGATTTACCTGGCTGGCAAATGGAAGTTATTTCTAAAGTTCAGATATAACTTTAAACAGAAAATTGAAGCTATGTTAGCAGAATATTTAGATAAGCAGGTTGAAATAAAATCTTGGAAAAATGCCTACATTTAGGAAATTGGAGATTTAGAGAACCGTCATTAAAAAAGTGCAAGTGACCAGGAGTGGTGACTCATGCCTGTAATCCCAGCATTTTGGGAGGCTGAGGAAGGAGGATGACTTGAGGCCAAGAGTTTGAGACCAGCCTGGGCAATACAGTGAGACCCTGTCTTTACAAAAAAAACAAAAACAAAAACAAAAACAAAAACAAAAAAACCATTGTTTTAAATTAGCTGGGAATAGTAGTATAAGCCTGCAGTACCAGCTACTCAGGAGACTAAGGCAGGAGAATAGCTTGAGCTCAATGGTCAACCATGCCACTACTACAGCCTGAGCGACAGAGTGAAACCCTCTCTGAAAAAAAAAATTTTAAAACAAGAGAATGTAAGGAAAATCAGTATGACATAGGATCATGGAATTCAAGAAAACACTGAGTTTCAAGAAAGAGGCTATGGTGAGCACTATTTAAAAACCTAAGTTAAAAAAGGGAAAATGACATGGAAAGGGAAATGGTAGAATGGTTACAGCAAATGGCAGTGGGAAAATGAAGCAACATACATTCTCTTTTTTCAAGAGCACTGGTACTGGTGAGAAGAACTTCCCAAAGGCATGAAAAGGGGATGAAATTAAGGGTACAGAGAAAGGATTTAGTTCTGAAGTGTTCTAGAAATTAAGCTTAATAAGGTATATCGCCTTACCCAATATATTCATCTTTGTTCTCCTCAGTCACCAGAATATTGGAACCTCCCAATTTCAGGTCATGTGAAGTAACTTTTCCCAAAATCTCCATGTCAACAGAAAAGTACATTTCTAAGCCACATTCTTCAATGTTGTTATCTCTGGGTGAAATAAATATATATACACCAATTAACAAAATGAAACAAAATGAGTTTCAAAAAAATGACTTATTGCAAAACAAAATCTTCAAACCTTATCCAGATAAGGGAGTTATAAAATTCAGTATCAATAGATTCCAAATCCTTAATAGTAAGTTTTTTACTTAACATACGCTTGTAGAATGGTAAAGAGAAACCAGTATCGATAAACTTTCCATGAAATAGTGCCTGCAAAGAAAAATGAAAAATTTTATTTAAAATTTGCAAAATAACAATTTCTTAGAGAACAATGATAACAGAAAAATCATGAGACTTTACAAGTAAACAAAGCATTCAGTAAGTGAATGGCATAAATCATGAAAACTAAAATATTATATAAAATGCTAGGTATGAAAAACAAAGTTAAAACAAAATCTATTTTATACATACAGCTATATAACATGTATCAAAAACTGTATAGGATGATACAAGACTTCTGTTACCATACCCTGCCTCAATCTTCCTAAATGTTTTATAAATTGAATTAACCTAATTGGATAACGAAATAGAAAAGGGCTCTGTGCACCTGAAAAGGCAGCTCCCCCGTTCCTTTCTTACTCTCACTGCTGCATGTGAGGCTTTTAGGACTAACCTCACTGTGCCTTTGCTCCTATTCAGAACAGCCAACCCAGGAAGCCCCAGACTCCCAGCAATGTGAGGGAACTAAAAAAATCCACTGAAGCTATCAATACTACCTTAGCCCCCTCATGAAGTTATGTCTTCCCTTACTCAGTTTAGATTCCATAGTCAATCATTAAAATAACTACCTTCAAGGTGGGGCGCGGTGGCTCACACTTGTAATCCCAGCACTTTGGGAGGCTGAGGCAGGTGGATCATGAGGTCAGGAGATCAAGACCATCCTGGCTAACACAGTGAAACCCTGTCCTTACTAAAAATACAAAAAATCAGCTGGGCATGGTGGCACGCACCTGTAATCCCAGCTACTCAGGGGAATGAGGCAGGAGAATTGCTTGAACCTGGGAGGTGGAAGTTGCAGAGAGCCAAGATCACACCACTGCACTCCAGCCTAGGTGACAGAGCAAGACTCTGTCTCAAATAATAAAATAAAATAACTCCCTTCAAACCCTACCTCCGCCAGTGTATTCTAGCAAAATCCCAAGCGCAGCTAAATTCAACTCTCAGGTTACTCAATGTCTGTACCTAGGCAATGGAACATGCTAGAAATGCATAAACAACCAAGCTGACTCCTCCATGACCAACAGTCATATTTCATCACTGGTTTGTTTCCTGGTAATCACATTTCCCACTGCATTCACTCTCCCACTTTCCTAGATGACTATTTCATTCCTACCCCTCTTTCCTCAAATACTTACTTCTCCCTGCTCCTTATTCTGAGTTGATGATCTTACTTCCTATTTCACAGAGGAAACAGAAGCAACCACAAGAGAACTTTTGTGTGTTCTACTGTATCTGCTCACTACTAGCATCTGAATGCATATAATCTTATTACAGATAATCTTTCTATCAACTAGTATGTGTGCTAAATAAATCTCTTCCTCTCTCCAACTCAAGTCCATTGCTCTCATATTCCTTATATTCTGACTTTATCAAATTCTTTATCCTCTAACTTGGTAGTATGGTTTAGATGTTTCTCTCCTCCAAATCTCATGTTGAAATGTGATCCCCCAGCTGGCTTCTTCATACAGAAGAATGAAACCAGAGTGCTACCTCTCATCATACACAAAAATTAACTCAAGATGGACTAAATACTTAAATGTAAGACCTAAAACTATTAAAATCCTAGAAGAAAACCTAGGAAATGCCCTCTTGATATTAGCCTTGAGAAAAAATCTTCTAAGTCCTCAAAAGAATTGCAACAAAAACAAAAATTGATAAATAGGACATAGTTAAACTAAAGAGCTTCTGCACAGCAAGAGAGGGAGTAAACTAACCTACAGAATGGGAGAAAATATTCATAAACTATGGATCCAACAAAGGTCTAATATCCAGAATTCATAAAGAACGTAAGCAAATCAACAAGAAAAAAGAACCCCATTAAAAAGTGGGCAAGCATAAACAGACACTTCTCAAAAGAAGATATATAAGCAGCTGCTGGGTGTGGTGGCTCACACCTGTAATCCCAGCACTTTGGGAGGCTGAGGTGGGTAGATCACCTGAGGTTAGGGGTTTGAGACTGGCCCAGTCAACATGGTGAAACCCCATCTCTATTAAAAATACAAAAATTAGCTGAGTTTGGTGGTGCACGCCTGTGGCCCCGGCTACTCAGGAGGTTGAGGCAGGAGAATTGCTTGAACCCAGAAGGCAGAGGTTGCAGTGAGCTGGGATAATGCCACTGCATTCCAGCCTGGGTGACAGAGTAAGACTCTGTCTCAAAAAAATAAAATAAAAGACATATAAGCAGCCAACAAATACATGAAAAAATGCTCAACATCACTAATCATCAGAGAAATGCAAATCGAAACCACAATGAGACACCATCTCATACCATCATACCAGTCAGAATGGCTTTTGTTAAAACATTAAAAAATAATAGATGTTGGCAAGGCTGCAGAAAAAGAAGAGACATATACTTTGTTCAGAATGTAAATTAGTTCAGCCACTTTGAAAAGCAGGTTGGAAATTTCTCAATGAACTAAGAGTTGAACCACCATAAGAATCAGCAATACAGTTACTGGGTATAGATATCCAGAGGAAAATAAATTGTGCTACCAAAGGACGCATGCACTGTACATTTGCCACAGCGCTACTCACAATAGCAAAGACAGAATAAATCCAGGTGCCCATCAGTGGTGGACTGAATAAAGAAGATGTGGTACATAAGCACCATGGAATACTATTCAGCCATACAGAGAATGAAATCATATCCTTTGCAATAACACAGATGCAGATGGAGGCCATTTTCTCAAGCCAACTACCGAATACTACATGTTCTTACATACAGGTGGGAGCTCAGCACTGGGCACACATGGACATAAAGATGGGAAAACTAGACACCTGGGGATTACTATGGGAGGGAGAGAGGGAGGAAGGCAAGGGTTGAAAAACTACCTATTGGGTACTATGCTCACTACCTGAGCATGATGGGTTCAATCACACCCCAAACCTCAGCATCATACAATATAACTTTTTAACAAACCTGCACATGTACCCCCCGATTCTAAAATTAAACCAGAAAAACAAAGAAATTTGACTTGCAATGAAGAGATTAATGCCCTGGTGAGTTCTCACTCTATTAGTTCCCTACAGAGCTGGTTGTTAACAAGAGTGTGGCACTTCCTCCCCACCCTTGCTTCCTCTCTCATCATGTGACTTTCATACACGCTGCCTCTCCTTCTGCCATGAGTGGAAGCAGCCTGAGGCCCTCACCAGAAGCAGATGCTGGCAACACGCTTCTTGTACAGCCTGCACAGTCAAACAAACGCCTTTTCTTTATAAATTATCCACCCTCTGGTATTCTTTTACAGCAACACAAAACAGACTAAAATATTTAGTCATCACTATCAGCAATACAAATGTTTTATTCTCCTCCCATTTCGACTCCATAAGCATTTCTAGTTAGTGACCAATTCCCTACGATTCCTTGTTTATATTTGCTGTATCCACTCTCCCTCCATTCTCTCTTGATTTTACTCTCATCAGTCTTTCCACCCTACCACTCATGAATAATCTTCACCTTTGCAGATACAATGGTCAAATCGCAGGCTTCATCTTGCTCAGCCTATCAGTAACATACGACAGGGCTGATCATGTCTTCCTTCTTGAAACACACTTCCTTCTTCCCTTGTCCTTTGGGGACCACTCCTATTTGATTCTACTACCTCAGAACTTTTGCTGGTTACTTATCTCCCTGACTTATAATTGTCCTTGAACAACTTCTTCATCCACACTCACTCTGTAAACAATCATATTGCCTTTTAATACTCTCTGTGTGCCAAGAATTCCCAAATGCCTATCTCCAAATTAAATATCCTTTCATTGCCAGACTTATACCTCCAACTATCTCTTTTACATCTCCATTTGGATGTCTACTTCAAACTTAACAAGCCAAACCTAAATATTCTTGATTTCTCCCACCCCCAAAATTTGCAACCAGACAACCTGGCCATAAGTATTGTTGCCATACTTGACTCTCTCTCACACCCTGCATCTAATCTGTCAGAAAACTGTTAGTTCTAACTTTGCAATATACCCAGAATCCAAACCACTTCTCACTTCCTCCACTGCTAGAAGACACAAGTCCAAGCCACTATTATCTTTCACCTGGATTGTTACAAATGATTTTCCTGTTTTTATCCATGTTTTCCTATGCCCCCAATTATAGTCTGTCTTCTACATGCCGGTAAAGCAAGCTTAATAAAATTTAAGTCAGATCATGTTAGTTAGATCATGTCACTCATTGCCCTACTCAACTCTTACATGAATTTCCTAAAGGTCCCAACACAGCATCTCTCAATCTCATCTCCTACTACATTCTCTCTCATATCCTCTGCTGCAACTATACTGGTCTCTTTCTCAATCAAGAATGCACTCCCACATTAGAGCCTTTGTCTTGCTGTTCCCTAAGCTTAGAATAGTCTTCAAGGTATCTGCATGATTCAGTCCCTAGCTTTCTTCAATTTCTGTTCATGTGTCATCCATCAGTGAGGCTTCCTTTAACCATATAAAAAAAGCAACACATTCTTTCCTTCAGAATGTATCTATTGATTATTTGTTTCTATCTAATGGAATTTAGGTCCCTGAGAACAGGGACGTGTATTCTTTTCATCTCTGGAGCCTAGAACAGTGCTTGGCATTACAGTAGGCTGTCAATAAATTTTTGCTGAATGAATTAATAGGTAATAAAGTGCAAATAAATAGGTAAATAAATAAATACAAACACTTCCCAAAAGACAATAGTTCCATAAAGGCTTCTGCAAAGCTCTAAAAATTCCAAAAACAATCAAATACAATTATTAGATAGCTAAGATTTTCCTTGTATTGAAAAGCAGGCTGGGAGTGGTGGCTCACATTTGTATTCTGAGCACTTTGGGAGGCTGAGACAGGTGGATCACTCGAGCCCAGGAGTTTGAGACCAGCCTGGGCAATATAACGAAACCCCATCTCCACTAAAACTACAAAAAAATTAGCTGGCATGGTGGCATGAGCCTGTAGTCTCAGCTACTTGGGAGGCAGAGGTAGGAGGATTGTTTGAATCCGCAAGGGGGAGGTTGCACTGAGATCATGCCACTGCACTCCAGCCCGGGAACAGAGTGTGATCCTGTCTCAAAAGAATTAAAATTTTTTCTATTAAAAATAAACAAATAAAAGTAGTCATACTATAAATGAGTTTTAATTTTAAAAATGAAAGGACTTTTAAAGACTAAGTGGCTGTATAAACATAATCTTCATATTCATAATCTTGATTTTATACAGGTACTCAAAAAATGTATTTTTATACTCTCCAGGGAAACTTTATTGGTAATAAAATTTGTGAATAGCAAATATAATGCTTATCTTTTTTTTAAAAAAAAGACTTCTCTAATACATTTGTAACAAATTTAAATAAATAAAAACAATAAAGTCAAGAACTCACCATGGCAATAAAACGACCAATGAAACAGAAGTATGAAAGATGGTCTGGATTAATGGTTGATGCTGGATTTATCTGCAGACAATAGTTGTTCTTGCCCGCATACTCAAATAAGCAATACATTGGGTTCAAAACTTCATGTGAAAGCAAGAAAAACCATTCTCTATAAGAAAGTAAGTCAAGGTTATTTTTTAGCATTAATATGTGAATTTAAAAACAGATCTTAAATATACTCATATATACATCATACCTCTGGCTCAATAGTCTTTAAGAACTCCACTGCCCAATTCCTCAGCCCTCCATCCATGTTCTTCTATGATCTGGCTCTCCATTTTAAGTTACCTGCTAGTTTCGATATGGCCAAACTACAAATTCACTGATCCTCATACAGATATAACATGCTTATTTGTATGCCACACTTTTGTTTGGATATGTCTCCTCAACTTCAACTCAGCTTAAATCCCACTTCAACAATTTTTGAAGCAATTTCCAGTGTATATGTATTAATATCAGTCACTGAATACTCTGTGGTAACAATCTCACAATATTAATTCATTTTTATGCACATGACTTGCCCCATCCATCAGACTGTAAGTTTCTCAAAGGCAAAAGCCATGTATTTTTTGTATTCTTAACTCTTACAAGCACTCCAGGACATATATACAATAGGTTTTAATATACATTCGCAGGTGATACTGAGATACACAGCACTGCTGCTATAGAACAGTTTTAACTTTATTGTCACTGCATTAAAAATGAAACTAACATTTAAAAGGTTAAATCTTTAAATATGATAAGCAATCTCTAACCTTTTAGCACTCATTTTAAAGTCCAATATACGAAATCTTCAACTAGATAAAGGTATTACAAGATAAACCCAATCTCTAAAAGATTCTTTTCAACAGCAATTTCTTCTAAAGAAGGGTTCCAAACTCAAATGCTTACAATGGTCTGTGAGTACAAGGGGCTTCCTTCTCTCACATTCTCTGCTTAGCCACAATCCTCCATTCCTTACATCCCTGCTAAATTATCGGTGTTAAGGAAGAAGAATTTCTAGGCATATTATCGTAGTCCTCAGACAACTGGGCAGCGGTGGACACTGCAGTGAAACAGAGCATATGCTAACCTACAGGGGAAACAGTGACTCTGATTCAGCCCACTGACGCCACGTGAGAAGGCAGGATTGTGGGTCGAGTGTTTTAAAGAGAAGTCAGAAATCTTCATTCTTAGGCATAATCTAATGATTTTCAAATGTCATCAAGTAATTTAAAAACTGTAAAATCACAATGAGGGCCACCTCTATGTAGGCTAGATCTGGTCTGGCAGCCTGTTAATAAATGCTTTTCTAAAACTTTTAAAACACAATCGCTGATACTGCCTGAAGGGTAGAGAAGGGAGTCCCTAAACAAAATCAACTAGAAATGGTAAACACCAATTCTTAAAACTAAGTCCAGTTGTAACATAGTAGTAGTTGAACCAAGTGACATCCCCCTATGATGAGGCTGAAGTAAGACATGCCCCAGGTAAGAGGACGGAGCAGGTCTAGTGAGAGTGTGTTTAGACACATATATAAAAACTAGGAATAAATCCTCCAGATGCTTCAGATAATTTTTAGCAAACAACAGACCAGAGGAAACTGAATCAATTCAAAAGAAGAATGGCTAAAACATGGCATCTAAACTTTCCCCTGATGCTAGCAGAAAAGGAAGAAAAATTCCTAACTAGCAAGAGGCAGAAGAATTAACTTTCAACATATTCTTCTCAATACTCTCAAATAAACTGAAGAGACACAAGAGGTTGAAAAAATTATGAGACAACAGATGAACTAGCAGAGCCTAAAGAAGAAAATGAAGAAAACAGTAAAACCACTAATGAAGAAAAACCACATTAGAAGCAGCAAAACGTAGGGCAGTACTGCAAACAGTGACATGAGGATAGGCTTGAGAAAAATCAAAGTAAAATGGAAAAGCACAAAGATAAAAATGATCAGAGAAAAGATGACAGACATGTAAGACTGACAAAGGAGATTCCACATACCCATGACTGATGTTCCTGAAGAAAAATGGAACAAACGGAACAGAAAAAATATTCAAAGACATAATAGAAGAAAACTTCCCTGACATTAAGGAAGATCTTAACACATTCCTAAAAAAAGATACAAAACAATCAACAGTGAAATTATTGAACTTCAAGAAAAAGGACTGTGTGGGCACCCAGAGGAAAAATAAGGTTCCTAGAAGGGGCTGGCCTCACACTTCACAGTACTAACATTCAGTGCTAGAAAACAGTAAAGCAATGTCTGAGTATTAGAAAAACAAGTGTGCGAGAAATTTATATCTAGTGAAATTGTTGTTTATATGTAAAAGCAACAGAGAACATTATGCAAAGACTGTAGGAATATATCAACCCTGTAAACTCTTTAATAAACCATTTCATGAATCTAACCCACCAATACACGAATTAAATAAAAAATTTAGGAATAAAAAATCATGTTATGGAGGAACTGGCTATATTCATTAAAACCATCAAAATATAAAACTTAGACCAAAATAGTTGAGGCAAATAAGGGCTCAGACAAGAATGTAAATGTTAATAAAGACACATTGTAAACATACCATACTTCCTCATTTCTAAGATGTACCTTTCTTATGTCTGAACATTTCTGAAATTGAGATAAACTCACAATAGATGCAATATGAACATTTATTGTGATAGGCAGTGTTTTGTTTCTGGAAAAGTCTAATGATGTTGTAATGAGGAAATATGCTAATATAAACAAAACTCTGATAATTCCACATATATTATCACATATCTGTTCCCACCAGTTGTACTTGATTCTGTATCTCTTTTTGCCAGCTGTGTTAAAACTGTGATTTTGTAATTCTGTACACCTCTAAAATGAGTTCAAAAAAGGAGTTGTTTTTATGAAAAGCAAGTTTGAATTCTTTAGAAAGATTTAATCAAAATGTTTTGCTAAACAATAGATTGTTGCCAAATTAGGCTGGGGCAGAACAAATAAGGGACAAAATAAAAAAAAAAAAAAAAAAGGATTTTCCACCCATACTGCTTCACAAGTGTCTACTGTTAACAATATATTTAGTGAATGTAGAAAACATTCCCAAAAGAGACTCAGATTAGACTAAAAACATAAATATAAAACCAACATACGATGTTACAATAGCAAAAAATAAGAATGTATGCATACTAATCCATTAATTATGATATTCCCATACAACAGAATATTACACAGACATTTTTAAAAAAGAAAATATTCAGACTAAGTGCTGTGCCTCACAACTGTAATCTCAGTACTTTGGGAGACCAAGATGCGGGAAATCTCCTGAGCCCAAGAGTTCGAGAACAGCCTAGGCAAAATTATGAGACCCTCATCTCTACAAAAAGCTTTAAAAACTTTCTTTTTTTTTTTTTTGAGATGGAGTCTTGCTCTGTTGCCCAGGCTGGAGTGCAGTGGCGTGATCTCAGTTCACTGCAAGCTCCACCTCCCAGGTTCACGCCATTTTCCTGCCTCAGCCTCCAGAGTAATTTTTTGTATTTTTAGTAGAGATGGGGTTTCACTATGTTAGCCAGGATGGTCTCGGTCTCCTGACCTCATGATCCGCCTGCCTTGGCCTCCCAAAGTGCTGGGATTACTGGCGTGAGCCACTGCACCCAGCCTTTAAAAACTTTTTTAAAAAAAAGAAGAAAAAAGAAATAAATTCACTCACTCACTCTGTGTGTGTGTGTGTGTGTGTGTGTGTGTGTATATATATATATGCTAACATAGAAAGATGTCCACACTACATTAAAAAACCAAAATCAGATCCTGCATTTTCTACACTTGTATGATTGTTAAAAAAGCAGCAAATATATAATACACATATATATGAATTTACACATATGTAAAGAAAATGTATAGAAAGATAACCAAGATAAGTAATAAAAATAATGGTTACCTTGTGTATTTTTGAGAAAAATTCTGGATTGTTAATTCAAAATTTTAATACAATATATTTACATATGTTTTCAAGAATACTTTCCCTGCATACGAGATACACTTATTTCAAGGCAGATATGTGTTTTTTATTTTACCTCGCTAGGCCACCATAATCAAGTCCTTCTTCTCCTCTAAATATTACATATAAGCGCCTCCTCAAGTCATAGGGTTTTAATGCCATAATCTAATTAAAAACAAAAACATGAATATTAAATACTCACATGCAGTACAAATTCCTTTCAAAACAATTTAAATTTAAACTGTATTTTCAAAATAACAGATTTCCTTATCTTATACAATGCTTTTAACTGAAGAGATGAATTGGTTTGTTTCACAAACTAGATAAAGACATACATATCAATCTCTTAAGCTTTTCCTGACTCACTTTCACATACAGTTGACCCATAAACAACATGAATTTAAGTCAACATGGTGACTGCACAGGTCCACTTATACTTGAATTTTCTTCAGCCTCTGCCAACCCTGAGAAAGCAAGGCCAAGCCCTCTTCCTCCTCCTCAGCCTATCCAATGTGAAGACAATGAAAATGAAGACCTTTATGATGATCCACTTCTACTTAATGAATAGTATAAGTATTTTATCTTCCTTATGATTTTCTAAAAAACATTTTTTCTCTAGCTTACTTTAAGAATACAGTATATAATACATATATCATACAAAATATGTGTTAACTGATTCTTTATGTTATTGGTAACGCTTCCAGTCAATGGTAGGTATTAGTAGTTCAGTTTTTGGGTCAATTTTTTTTTTTTTTTTTTTGAGACGGAGTCCCGCTCTGTTGCCCAGGCTGGCGTGCAGTGGCGCGATCTCAGCTCACTGCAAGCTCCGCCTCCCGGGTTTACGCCATTCTCCTGCCTCAGCCTCCCGAGTAGCTGGGACTACAGGCGTCCGCCACCTTGCCTGGCTAGTTTTTGTATTTTTTTTAGTAGAGACGGGGTTTCACCGTGTTAGCCAGGATGGTCTCGATCTCCTGACCTCGTGATCCGCCCGTCTCGGCCTCCCAAAGTGCTGGGATTACAGGCTTGAGCCACCGCGCCCGGCCATTTGGGTCAAGTTATATGTGGTTTTTCAACTGTGCAAGGGGTCAGCACTCCTAGCTCCTGTGTTGTTTAAGGGTCACCTATACTCTTTCCCCCTTCTGGTATTAAATGATAGTTCTATTTTGGGTTAACGGCAAGACAGGAAGAGCTTGACACAAAAGGCTTTTAAAGTTAAAAATATTATCTCCCCTGCTGGTTTCCCCAAACTGTACCAAAATCTTTCAACACGTGACTTGTAAATTTTTCTGACTAGCAGCACTTAGAGGCAAAAGACTTTGTTCTGCATCCTGCTTATACCGAACATTCCATTTCTCAGTAGGAAAGAAACTCAGCTATAATGACTAATTATTTATACAATGATGAATTTATCCACAGGCTAGTATAACTTAAAAACAATACCTATACCGAATTTTCATAATCTTTAATAGCTTACATCAAGGTTACTAGTAAGTAGGCTTTACTTTTGGATAGAAATACATTACATTCCACACATATGTCAGGACCAGAGCAAGACTGGCAGGTCTGGGTTGGAGCATAGCTCACCAGCATGCCTCCTTTGGGGCAGTCATGGGCTCAGTGCTATACATCAAATAGACCATGATTCTTCCCAAGACAGGGTAAAAAGCAAAATAAAGTCTTCTATGAATTCAGATGTATACTTACTAAAATCAACCCAAACAGAGGTTGACCTATTATTTACACTTAGTTTGCCAAGAATTTATTAACTCAAAAGAAAAAAATCAACTTGATAATAGTTTAAGTATTATGCCCAAAGTCCAATAGTAAAATTAAGCTATGGCTTGAAATTCTCTTGGGGCTCAGAGTATCATTACTTCATTCTGGCTTGTACAAAGTATAAATAAAAGTCCCTGTATGCCTGAGTACACAGCAAAATTTGGTTCATCACTGTGATACTAGAGGGAGAGGGAACAAGACGTCTCATTATGAAAAATTCTCCATCGGAAAAAAACTGACAATACAGTATTTGGATTATTTATCCTTAAATATTCTGCAGATGATTCAGGAAAGGTAGAAATACTGCATTCATTTATTCGCTCATCAAATATTTATTGAATACCCTCTATGTGCAAAGGCACTATTCTAGGTACTAGGCAGAACAGCAGTAAACCAATAGTCTCTGCTCTCATGGAGTCACATTCTAGTAAGGAAGACAAAATACACCATGTTGGGTGGTTATGAAAAAGAATAAAGCACCATAAATGGCTGGAATGTGACTGTGAGGGAGAAGAGCAGGACTGCCATCTTAAAATAGTAAGCTCAGAGAAGGTCTCTCTGAGATCACATTTAAACAGAAACGTAAAGGTGAGAATAAACAGTTATTAAAGGAATACTCAGATGGAATACAGTATCTACCAATTTAATTTTAATTTGAAAGCATTATCAAAACTTTGAGGTAATAAATTCTTAGCCAAGTATTAAGTGTCGAAACAAGAATCAACTCATTCCAAAAGCTGTTTAGGCTTTATTTTAGTAAATACACGTCTAAATTCATGATAGAATGATTGTCTCTCAGTCTCAGTACCTTCACCTATAACATGGAGATACAATAAGAGCTATCTCAAAGGGATGCTGTGAGGATGAATGAAATAAAATGAGAAATGTAAGATGCCGGTGTTTTACAAATGATATTCACTCAGTTTATGGTAGGGTTTAGTATAACTATTATTAAAATGGGCACTCAGGCCAGATGCAGTGGCTCAAGCCTGTAATCCCAGCACTTTAGGAGGCCAAGGTGGGTGGATCACTTGAGCCCAGAGTTCGAGACCAACCTGGGTAACATGGCAAAATTCCATCTCTATTAAAAAAAAAAAAAGGCACTCAGTAAGTGGCGGTGGCAGTCATTATTATTATAGCTGTGTTCTGGGTGGTTTAAAAATTTCTAAAACCCTAACTTTCTTTAGATGTACAGAATACAATGAGACAAATAATATTTTATTCTGCTAAAATCCTCCTTACCTGTTGGAAGGAATCTTCAAACAATGTCTGCCGGGACACATTGATCTTTACATGACTGGGTAGTGCATTAGACTAAAAACAAAAACAATATCATAATATCATCTAAGTTATAGTATATGTATTGTATAAAGATAACACTAAATTATTGTGAGTATAAGATTTATTTACCACTGTAGTACCTGGCACAAATAACGGAAGTGAGCAAGTTTCCACCTAAAGCTGCGTTCATAAGCAATTTGTGGACCACCTTTAGTTCTAAAGAAAAACAAAAAGAAACCAAATTAACTCATAATAAAGTTGAATACTTAGTATTCAGTATGAAATCAGAGGTCCTAAAGTCCTACAAAATACCACAGGAAGTTTTTTGCTGGGAGAGAAGGGTATACATACATGGTGGGCCAAAAGCAGCTCAAGTAATGGGGACTATTACAGCAGCAGGACACACACATACACAAAGAGGGACACTGTATTTATGCTGGGTCTTTGGTTAGTGAGTTAAATGAAATACCAAAGTCTACTACAGACTATTTCAAAGAAAATATTTGATAATCCTTAAATCTAAGGAGGACAGAGGCTCCAGACAGAAGAGACGTGGAAGGAAATTCTATCCCATCCTAAGTCTAACCTAAAACTCAAACAAATATTCCTGGAGATAATAAGCAGAGCAAAATCAAATTCCTAGAAACAACATTGTCATCCAGATGACGCGGTTCAGGCGGTCAGTGAGAGAAAAGGCAGAGTTGGTGGCATGGCACCTGGAAATACAGGTTTCACAACATGGTCTGACTCACAGTAACAGAGCCTGGATCTCTTCCCTATTGACTGAGGGCCTGACAAGCACAAATCACTTTCGTAATCTTAAGGAACACTTTGGAACAGATGAAAAACGTTCTCTTGCATTGTCAGGTTCAAGTGAATTCACTTATTCAAGCATTTACTGAAAGGATAGCTGGTACCTGGCTTTCTTCTAGACAGTGACAGCATTACTTATTAATAGGTAAAAATGCCTGTTTTGTGGAGCTTATGTACTAGTGAAGAGATAAGTAAAGTACAAATGTCTTATCACTCTTGACCTAAAACAATAAAAAAGGCATTGTTAAAAGGACAAAGGATAAGGAGTGATATGACAAGTATTTTGTAATTTTCAAAAGGGTAAAAAGAGTAGAGCTCATACACAAAGCGACATTTGAGCAAAAACATGAAGGAGAGGGCATAAGCCATATGGAGATTTGGGAAAAGAGCATACCAGGCAGATGGTGTAAGGGCTAAGACCCAAGGTGGAAGCTGACGGTGTTGAAGGCACAGCTAGTGGCCAATGAAGCTGGAACATGGTGAATGAGGAGGAGCGAAAACCAAGAAGAGGTTGAAGAGATGAGAGGGGTCAGATCCTGTAAGGCCATTAGCGTGCTTTTTACTCCAACTGAGATGGAAACCACTGAAGGGTTTTGTGCAAACAAATGGCTTTTAATTTAACTTTTGTTTTGGAAAGTCAGTCTCTGTGCTGTACGGAGAATAACACAACATTGTACAAGGTATGGGAAGAAAGCAGGGAGAGGACTCTGCTACCAAGCCAGGCAACAGACAATGGTAGCCTGGACCAAAATGGTGGCAATGGGGGTGGTGAGACAGCTGGACTCTAGATATGCTCTGAAGCTGAGTTAACTAGAATTCTTGATGGGCTGTTTGTAAGCTAGGAGAGAAAGAGGAGCTGTGGATGATTCCACATTTTTTTTTCTAAGATGGAGTTTTGCTCTTGTTGCCCGAGCTGGAGTGCAATGGTGCAATCTCAGCTCACTGCAACCTCTGCCTCCAGGGTTCAAGTGATTCTCCTGCCTCAGCCTCCTGAGTAGCTGGGATTATAGGCACACACCATCACGCCCAGCTAATTTTACCATGTTGGCCAGGCTGGTCTCGAACTCCTGACCTCAGGTGATCCACCCACCTCAGCCTCCCAAAGTGCTGGGATTACAGGCGTGAGCCACCA